GAGACAGAGAGACAGACAGAGACAGAGACAGAGAGAGAGAGAGAGAGAGAGAGAGAGAAAGAAAGAGAGAAGGAGAGAGAGAGAGAAAGAAAGACAGGGAGAGAGAAAGAAAGAGAGAGAAATAGAGAAAATGAGAGAGATAGAGAGAGAGGGAGGGGCAGAGAGGGAGGAAAAGAGAGAGAAAGAGGGTCAACTTGAGGCTCGAACCCGGACTTTCCGCTTCGGAGACTAGCGCACTGACCGCTCCGCCATCACAGCCTCCTGGGTATAGCACACATAACGCCCAGGTTGAATCGAGTAGAATACCCCCATCCAAAAATTGAAATAATTTATTTTTTTTAAACGATAATGATAAAACTGCAAAAACTAGAATCTTTGTGCTCGTGTTGTGACTGACCCTCACCTGTGTTTTGGTATGTTGAGTGTGAAGACAGACGACACGTTCTGGTAGCCGACGACAAAGGAAATGACGGCGATGAAAATCAGCATTAACTTCTGGAATCTTCCAAAATGACCGATTTTCAGAAGGAGATCGTCGAAGCGCTTGAACTCGACATCGTTGGGATCTTTTTCTGCTGCCATTGTACTTTTGGTCTATCCTATCGTTGGCTGTGAAGGAAAAACACACACGCAGATATAGGGTTATACCCTCTGGTTATACTCGAGTTTTCTTTTACGGGAAAGAGAGGGGGTGAGGGGTTAAAACAAAAAATAAACACCCTGATAGTCAAACTAATATGTGAGGCAGCGTGGTGGAATCAGGCTCTCGTCAATTTTTGGACTTACAGAGTTATAGGTATTATCTTAAAACCTGTTCACTTGTCTTTATTTGGATGAAAAAAATATCCATTTATCTTGAATACAAGTCGAGTAATTTGCGAAAGAAGGAGGTGGGGGGTCACTTGTTTTCAGAGGTAAAATTAGTGAGAAAATGGCCGCCAAAGATTAATTATTTCCTTAGCTTAAGAGTCCGTGGTAACTGAAAATTTACATTTTTTGTGCCTTTAATCAACGTTTTTTTCTGAAAAATCCACACAGAAATGAGTTCTTTAATGGGCATGAAATGTGTATAGCCAAAAAAACAAAAATTTGATAAAAATTCACAAGCCTGCGAAAAAATGCAGGATTCTTCACTTTGATTATTTTGACGGGAGCCTGATTCCACCACGCTGCCTCACATATTGTAATATTGTTACAGTGGTTCAGTTTTAGCATGACGACATTTTGTTCCTTTGGTAAAAATGTCGGATTGTTTTTATGAGGAATACTATACACTTAAGCTCAACTGATATCCATCTTACTTATAAAAAAATCAGTTAATGTGTATACGTACATTCTAATTGATTTAACGCAAAAATACAACATAAATTATCTTAACCAAACATATTTTTTTCTGTTTCTGAAACTATTCAACTGCTCGTTTCTTTTTCGTTTACTTGCTATTGTTTTTCACTGTTTGTATAGCTAAATTATACATAATACTGACAGGAGTATTAGAGAAACGTTACGTGCACATTACAAGTTTGTGTCAAGCTCGTAGTTTTTACAGCAAAATAGTTACACATTCTGAACTTTTCCCATCGGCAGCTAAATAGGTGTATTATGATAATATCATAGAGGGTGGTGCTATCATGTTGACGCAAAAAGAACAGTGGGCCTCCAGTAGTTATTTCATGTGTTGCAATTTTCACTACTACTACTCTTGTTCTGCTAGATGGAGACATAGATTGGTGCTAGCTGCCTGTGTGAGGAAAATACAAAAAACGTTTAAAAAATGTTAGACGTGAGACTGTTGATTTATGTGTACTGTCACCCCCCCCAAACACCCACCTCGACATTCTTATAATGAAGCCACGACCGTACGCTTACTCTTTTGTTTGAGATGAGTATCACCTTGTTTGTTTTTGGGTGGGTTTTTTTCTTTGGTAAGTGTTTTACGGCGCTCGCAACTGCATAAAATCCTATGAGCGCACGGGACACATTCAACTTTTTTAATTGGTAGGAAATTTTGAATTTTGCTCGAGTGGTGGTCGAAACCTACTCCGATTTTGGACCACCAAGGGATCTTTAACGTGTGCAACTTGAACACGGGATCTCCGAGATATTTCGCCCTTGTCCGAGAAGGCTAGGTGTAGATATTTCCTAACAGAAGATCGGGGGTATGGCTGAAAGACAGC